AATATCCACTCTTACTTGTGTATCTCATCAGTGATTTAATTCTCACTTTCTCCCTCCTTCACTTCCTTCCTTCCATGTCCATTATTTATTATCCTGATTTGCATTAATCTAACTTTCAGATTGGTAAAGGCGTCCGCTGAATTTTTTGTGAGAGTGGTGGATTGTAGTCGCCAACCCTCAGATTTGTAGTTCACGTCAGTCAAGCACCCTCCTCCTACTACTTAACACTGTACGTCATAATAGTGGAACTCTCTACCTGGATACGTATTGCCATCTATATTATCAACAGTAGAATAGCTCTTCTGATGTGGGTTATATAATGTAAACATGTGCCGTTGAGGGTATGGTGTGGGTGGAGGGTACTGGGTGGGTGTAGGGAGACGTCACGTGGTCACATACCTAGAGGTGTCGTGAGGTGAGGTGAAGTCAGATCAGGTCAAGTGGCAGTGGCCAGGAGCACCTTGGCCTCACCTATCTTCCCCAGGACCACCCGACCACTTATTATAATGAGACTACACCACTGTCATGAGCCTTCCTCATTGCAACATTATACGAATTGACAAAAAAGAGAAGAAGAAGAATCCAAATAAGTTAGGAAGACAAAACAAAGAAGTAAAATTCACCCCCCCAAACATTACACAACAGCTGAGATTAACTGGGTCTTCCCTGGGAGTAAATAGCAACAGTCCTTAGCATTAGAGACCCCCCTTCCTTCCCTCACTTACCCCTCACCCCTTCTGTTTCCCCCCCTCCTCCCTCCCTCCCTCACCCCTCCTCGTCCCCCCTCACCTCTCCTCTATCACCAGCCTTAACCAAGCGAACCACAAACCTCACAGTACACACTTTTAACTCTCACCGACTTGGAAGAACAACAAGACGTAGTGCCCTGTGGTCACCCTCGCTTGGTCCCGCCTGTCACAACATGCAACATACACCAACAGGAGGCAGCCAAAGGTCGCGCCCCCTTGTAAGATCTTCCTCAACTTTGAACTTCTCCTGCTGGTGCTGCGCCTCCTGCTGTTGATCCCCTGACCAGCTGTGAGGAAGGGTGTGGTTTTTTTTGTATGAAGAGGGAGAAGAGGAGGGAGGGAGGGAGGGAAGGAAAAAAGGGAAAGGAAACAAGTGAAGATTGAAATAGTGGGGGGTAGAGGAAAGCGATGATTTAGGGAAAAGGGAAGGGAAGTTATGAGAAAGTGAGAAGAAGGGAAGGAAGGGGGAGGATATGAGATATTGAGGGGAGGAGGAAGAAGGAAAGGGATGGAATGTAAGGAAACAGTAAGTGACAAGAGGAGGGGAGAGGAAATAGAAGGGAAGAAACATAAGTGGGGAAGAGGAGGAAAAGAAGGAGGAAGAGGTCGAGGAGGAGGAGAGGAGGAGGAAGAGGGTGCAGAGTGACATCGGGTGAGGTCTGGGAGGTGACATGTGTTTGTGTTCTTCCCAGGGGTGCTTAATGTCACAGTGAGACAGTGATTGTTACTCAAGTATCTCTCTCTGTCTCTCACTCACTCTCTTAGTATTCCTTCTTCTCTCCGTCTCTCTCTTAGTATGCCTTCCTCTCTCTGTCTCTCTCTTAGTATTCCTTCTTCTCTCCGTCTCTCTCTTAGTATGCCTTCCTCTCTCCGTCTCTCTCTTAGTATGCCTTCTTCTCTCCGTCTCTCAGTATGCCTTCCTCTCTCCGTCTCTCTTTTAGTATGCCTTCCTCGCTCCATGTCTATTTTAGTATGCCTTCCTTCCTCTCTCCGTCTCTATTTTAGTATGCCTCTCTCTCTCTCCATTCCTTAGACCTCCACTGAACTAACACACACACACATAAACCCCATAAGGTGTTTGTTTACAAGTACTGGGTGAAGCGGCGATCCTCCCATTGTTTACATCGGGACCCTCGGACACAGTTGCCAAGTAGGCGTTATTGTGTTCACCTCGTCCTTAGACCATTGGCTTTCCTCTCTTGCTTCAATTAGCTTTGTTTTAGTGTTACCAATCTGCTAGAATATAACAGTTACTTTAAGCATGTGTATAATATTTTGTTTGTCTCTTATATCTTTGGAAATTGGTACATAGATAGTTTGTCGTATTGTGGATGGATAAGAATTCTCAATGAAGAAGTTTGTAAGGGATGTGAAAGGGGGATGTTTTTTCAGTCAAGGATTTCATTAGCCATTAGTGATTGGAATGATAGAATGACTGTGTGAATTGCCAAGAGGAGTGTTCAGTGTGCAGGAGGGAGCTGAGTTACGTAACGGTAGGAAGGAATGCTTGAAGGATATTCCGGATATTTCTTTCCCCCTTCCACGGTGATGGATGTTTAGGGATAGTGTATTGGATAGAGAAAGATGGATGGAATATATAACAGTTGGATAGCGTGTAAAACCTTCTGTACAGTCCATCCATCGTGACCAGAGCCATAATTCTCAAAGTTTCGAAGGCAAATCTGTCTCTCGCAAAAGCAGGAACACAGACGCGAAAATGGCGTCCAACATACTCCTTGACTCTATCGTAAACAGAAAGCCAGTTAGAGCCGTTCTTGCATCTCCAGTTAAGGGACCACTTAACGCAATAATATACGAGAGTCTTGGTCGTGGGAGGCAGCAGGAGAGGCAGCAGAAGAAGTAGGAATAAGAGGTACTGTTGTTCCTCTCCGCCCATGACTCACATAGCTGGCGTTGGTGGAGCGTCACGGAGATTAGTGGTGACAGTGGCAGCAGGTGTTGTGGTCATTACTACCTCACACCTGCTAGACCTCCGCTGGCCTCTTACCCTCCATCACAACCACCAACCTCATCACACCCCCTCTCCTTCCTTCCTCCCACTCCCACCTCCCACACTGCTTCTCAATTTCATCCCTCACCTCCACGTCACTCCTTTTCCACACCCACGCTCACAACTTCTGTCCCTTCCTTTCCCTTACCACCAACACCTTTCCTCACCCTCCCCTTCCCTTCAAACTTCTCTCCATCACACCATCTCACCCCTCCCACTCTCTCGCCTTCCCTCCCCTCACCCTTTCCCTTTGCTCCCTGGCTCCTAGACATTGTATCAAAACGTCCTCCCCTTCGTCTCCCTCTCTCTCTCTCTCTCTCTCTCCTTTCCTCTCCCCTCACTGTGCACTGTCCTCTATCCCTCCCCTCACCCCTCACTCACTCTCTCACAATGGCGGCTGCTTAATTCCCTACTCCCCTCCCTGCAGTGATGATAAACATTATGCACCTACAATAGTGGTTACTTAGCCCCTACTACCCTCCCGTCCATCCCCTTCTCCCTCCCTCCGTTTCCCCTCCTCAGTCCCCTCATATTCCTCCCCCTAAACCCCACCTACATTATTGATTGTTTATCCTCTCTACTACCATTTTCATCCATGTATCGTGAATGACTTTTACCATCCCCACGAACAGCACATTTCCATCAACTTTTATCACACCCACGTACATTTCCATCAATTTCTACCATACCCACGTACATTTCCATCAATTTCTACCATACCCACGTACATTTCCATCAATTTCTTCCATACCCACGTACATTCATGCACCATTTCAACTGTTTCCCGTGTATCCTAGCTGTTTCTTCAACCCTAAAGTACATAATTTACTCAGTATAATGTAAGGTCCTGTTGTGTAAATATCGCATAATCAAGTAAGAAAGAAATTGTCATAGTGATATAGTACAGGCGCTCCTATATGTACCCAGGCGAATAAACTCTACCTGGGTCTTTAGTATCAATAATAGAAAGTACCTTGATGTGATTAGTCGCCACTAGGTAAGGGAGGGAACACCAGGTGACAAACTCATCATAACAGTTAGAGTGTTAGATTAAGGAGTGAAAACTTATTCTCTTGTATATAAGGAATGTCAGAAAATGTTATTATTATTATTATTATTATTATTGTTATTATTATTATTAATGACCGTTGATAACCGTTATTAACCGTTATTACCGTTGTTTGACCACCTCTGGCTAGTGGTGGTTGGAGTTGGTGATGATGGTTGCAGCTGGTGGTGGTTGGAGGAAGTAGTGGTTAGAGGTGGTGGTAGCAGCTAGTGATGGTTATAGTTGTTGTGGTCATAGTGGTAGATGATGGTAGTAGCTGGTGGTGGTTGGAGGAAGTAGTGGTTAGAGGTGGTGGTAGCAGCTAGTGATGGTTATAGTTGTTGTGGTCATAGTGGTAGATGATGGTAGTAGCTGGTGGTGGTTGGAGGAAGTAGTGGTTAGAGGTGGTAGTAGCAGCTAGTGATGGTTATAGTTGTTGTGGTCATAGTGGTAGATGATGGTAGTAGCTGGTGGTGGTTGGAGGAAGTAGTGGTTAGAGGTGGTAGTAGCAGCTAGTGATGGTTATAGTTGTTGTGGTCATAGTGGTAGATGATGGTAGTAGCTCCTGTCATCCCGACCTCCAGTCCCATATCTGTTTACACGTAGCGTTAATTATATCACACTCGTAATTAAGTATCATTATGTTAATTAGGCTCATTCCTGCTGTATTTATGTTTGCCTGTTCACATACACCCTATTTATAACGTCAGTAAATTCATGCCTACTGTTATGTATCTATCGCAGTAATTGACTTTAATCAAATTAACTGATATTCAGATATTAACGTTAATTTCAACATCAATCCCTAGTAATTACGGGATGATAATAACTCATAGTGTACTCCCGTGTGCGTATTGATAAATGAATTGACGTCCGTGTGCGTTTTATTAGGTTTTTAGTGTGCGTATATGTGAATGTACACGTTGGGATATATGGGTCGAGTTTATTCCATGTGTGTTTGTTATCCCTGTGTGTGTGTGTGTGTGTGTGTGTGTGTGTGTGTGTAGCCCATCGGAACCAATGAGAGGATGAGAGAAAACGGAGACGCACTGATAGGTGAAGGGGAGACTGTACCAATACTGTTATTTACACCAATTTTTTACATATTTACTTGTTTACTGTTATAGAAAGTTGTGTACATCAGTTACATAAATATTATGTGTCTCATGAACTTTTTTCTTTTTCTTTACAGTGTGGTCATGGGCGTGTGTGTGGGTGTGGGCGGCGGTGTTTGCCCTCCTCTTCTCTAAGGCTTGTGGGCGTGGCGGTATTAAAGGTAAGATTATATTTCGTGTTTTCATTCTGTAGTAGTAGTAGTATAATTTCACTTCACTTTAATTTAACCTCCTAATAACAAAACCGATTACAAGTACAACCTTATTAACAAGAGCAACAAAAACACCAGCAAAAATACAGGATAAAAGTCTTAAATAACAAAAAACAATAACACAATATATTATAGAAATAACAACAACAACAACAACAGTGTGATTAAGAACATCACAATCGAAACAACGACAACAAAGACACAAATAGAACAACAAAGAAACAAACAAACAAAGACAAAACAAAACACCAAGAGGTTTAGAATTTTAATACCGACAAATAACTAACAATTAAACCAACCAGGAACTAAAAATCAACACAACAATTACAGGTTCGATGACAACAATTAACTCCAAACAATTATAACAAGAACAAATGTTTTCACTCCTCAGATCTAACGTGATTGTTTTTGTTTTGTAAATATTGGTACTTCACTACTAGAAACAACTATGCTATTACTTCTGCTAGCTCTTCTACTACTACTACTACTACTACTACTACTACTACTACTACTACTACTACTGACTATCACCACCTACGGTTCTCCCTCACTAGAGTCAGAGTGAAGGAATTATATGCAAATTCGGATCATCATTTGTAATTATCTTTTGCTGCCCTTAACTGATTTACATATTGACGCTTGTGTGTGTGTGTGTGTGTGTGTGTGTGAGAGAGAGAGAGAGAGAGAGAGAGAGAGAGAGAGAGAGAGAGAGAGATCTGTCTGTCTGTCTGTCTATCTCTCTCGCCTACCATCACCACCACAACTACCACCACAACCACCTCCACTACTACAACCATCACAACCACAACCCCTCACTCCCTTGATCCATGGGACATAAAAAACTCCAGTAATTTATACACTTATGTTCGTAACGTTGACGCCAGCCAGAGAGTGAGTGTAGACACGTGAACTTAATCTCCACCTCACCTCATAAATACCTCTTCCTACCCCCATAAACTGTCTTTCCCCATAAAGTATAGCCTCTTCCCCCGTAAATTTCCCCATAAAATTCAATCTTCCTAAAACGAGATCCTTTCCTTCTTCCCTTTGCCCCATTCACCCCCATGTAGTCTAGTCTGTCTTAGCTGTAGTATTAATCTTTCACCTCGTCTTACCCATGATCTTAGTCTCTTCCCCATTAATGCTAAATGCTCTCTCTCTCCACAATGTCTCCTTTTCTCCCCATATTTTCTCTTAACTCGTATATTAATGGGGGATTGTCTTCTCCCTATAAATTCTTCTGCCCCTGTTTCGACTCATCCATAAATATTTCATCTTCCCATTAATTTATTTCAAGTAGCTACTCAACTCCCTATTATCTCCCCATATAAGTCGTCTCACTCAGAAGCTTCTCCCCATGAAGTTTTATCACCCATTAATCTTCTCATCTCCCCATTCTCCCCATAAAATCTTTTCCCCACCAATCTATATCACCTAGAAGCTTCTCACCTCCCTATAATGTCTCCTCCCCACAGTTATCTCCCCCATAGAGACTTCTCCCCCTAAGGTCTCCTCCCCATTAAGTCTTCTCCCCCATAAGCCACTCACACACCTGTCAGTCCCACTAATTGCTGGTCATTACTACTGTCGCATCGTCTGGCTTAAGCCCACTAATTCTGAGAAAATTCCTTTGACATTTTAAGATTGTCATTAGGCATCATCTGGAGAGAGAGAGAGAGAGAGAGAGAGAGAGAGAGAGAGAGAGAGAGAGAGAGAGAGAGAGAGAGAGAGAGAGAGAGAGAGAGAGATCACAACAGACTCGGGTAGTATCGGGTTCATTCAAACTCTCAGAAGTTTAGAACGATAATGCTTATTTTTCTCCTCTAAATTGGGGTTAAGAGAACGTGTCATGTTACTTTACAGACTCAATGCAATTTGGAAGCTCTATTTTCCCACTGATATTTTTCTCTCTCGGTGTAAGTGATCCAATTAGGTACGTTTTCATAGTTAAGTGGTAAGTCTAACTAACGAAACTTTACGAATCTATCTTTGAGTAAACCAAGTAAGTGAATTCTCTACATCTCTACATGTGATCCCTTACAAAATACCGGAAATCCTGATGTCAACAAGGCATCACCCACCCCCTCTCCTTCCCACCCTCCCCCACAACACCCCAAAAAGATCCGAGGAAGAGATGTCTCGACCGGGATTCGAAGCTTCGAACCGGAGATTGAAACAGAGATGGGATTCTCGAAGCCTTTGTCAGGGGGATCAGCATTTCATCTCCTGTGATTCCTGATCGGTAAAAAAACACACATAGATCCATTTTATCCTTCATTTTTAACCCTGGTAATCGACGTAGAAGGAATGAGAGAAAAGAAAGAAGAATTAAAAGTGTTATTCGCAGTCTTAACGAGATTTGGGATTCGATTGTGAGAATTGTGAGGAAACTGAACACGACTGGAGAAGCGAGGTCCTACTTAGAACGAGATAAAGGAGAAGAAATTGGTAGAGTGAATGTGAAGACGAGAGAAAGAAGAGGAAGGAGAAGAATGCAAAAAACGAAGATGATGAACAAGAAATGAAACAAGAAAGATTAAGGTGGTGAAAAGAAGAAGAAGAAGAGAATAAATATAAAAAACAAGTAAAAATATAAAGACAAACATAAGTGATCTAAACTTCTTCAAAATTTAAAATAATAAAACAGAAAAAAAAACAATAAAAATCACCATTGTAACATATCTGGCACCGCGTTACTGCCATATCATTTTTTCTGCAAAATTTCGACTATTTGAATTGCTAATTAAGCAAATCGTGAGTGAATTAAGCAAGATTTTCCGGAATTTCATTAGGTCCGCTAATTCTCAAGATTTTGAATGAGAATTTGTTCAGTATTTACGGAGGGAGGTCAACGAGGGGAGGAATTCTGTGCTGTAAGATTTTTAACCACTGTGCCAAATATCTTTTAAAAAATTCCCTATATATAATTCTTAGTATTTTTTCATGTGTTTTTGTAATATAATTCATCTGTTATATAATTATGATTTATTCTGTTATTCTATCTATTTATGAGCATTTTTCCATATATAAAAACAATATATATATTAAATCTCTTATATTCTAACCTTATATAACTTTTTCTTACATTATTATCATTTTTTTACAAGAATTTATTCATATATTTACCCTCATTACTTTTTTACGTAAATATATAGAAATTATATAAACATTTAAACATTATTTAGCATTATGTTATAGTTGGGTCGGTGTTGTTGTCTTTGTAAAAGAAATTGTGCATAATTTTTCCCTCATTACTTGTGTGTGTGTGTGTGTGTGTGTGTGTGTGTGTGTGTGTGTGTGTGTGTGTGTGTGTGTTGGCTGGATAAACACGACTCCAATATCCTCCTCTTTAATGAACATTTTTACATTCAATGATAAAATTTTACTCTGGCCTTTTTCCGAGTTCTTTGTACAGTCTGTCTGTATGTTTGTTTACCTGTATGTGTAGTTGTCTGTCTGTCTGTATGTCTGTTTGTCTTTTTACAGGGTATTTTCTTTATTACTACACACACACACACTCTCTCTCTCTCTCTCTCTCTCTCTCTCACACACACACACACACACACACACACAATAAATACATGAAAGGGCACCGTTTAATATCCAATTGCATATAAAATATTTAACACCTTTGAAAACGAATTTAAATGAAAAATAGTTTATTGTTTTGTGGATCTGTTTTTATTTAAGTAAAAATAAATAGAAAAGAGCCATTTATTAGGTGAATATTTAAAACTTATATTTTATTGGTAATATTTGAAATAGTTTTAATTAGTTAGGTGTCTGAAGGAAGGAATGAAAGAAGTATTGAAAGAAGGAATGAAAGAAGTATTAAAATAAGGACTGAAAGAAATATTGAAAATAGGAATGAGAGAAGGAATGATTGAAATAATGAAAGAAGAAAAGAAAGTAACGAAATAATGAATGAAAAATTAATGAATTAAGTAATAAAAGAAGCAATTAAAGAAGGAATTAATAGAAATAGTACGAAAAATTGGTTTGAATATAAGAGAGAATAAGAGAGACTGTTTGAAGCGGAAGAGAAGAATACATATAATAACGAAGAAGATGGAACAAGGAAGGAAATGAAAAGAGGAAGAAAAGTGGAGGGAATAATCTGTGGAAGGAGAGAACTTAAAATGTAGGGAGGATTTGGTGAGAGGGGAAAAAAGGGGGATTAAGGGAAGAAGAGAATGAAAGGGGAGAGGGAGAAATAGAGTGATACATACATACGTACATACATCGGCACATAGGTATATATACAAATAAACATGTAAACAATGAGAGAGAGAGAGAGAGAGAGAGAGAGAGAGAGAGAGAGAGAGAGAGAGAGAGAGAGAGAGAGAGAGAGAGAGAGAGAGAGAGAGAGAGAGAGAGAGAGACCCCTCAGCCGTGTTTGCCCCGTGTAACCAACTAAACACATTGCTCTCCCAATCTAATTTTAGTTCCAATCCCAAAGACTGTCGTTTATAGCGGGGCAGATTTGGGAGCCTAATCCCTCACCAATGCTGGCGGACTTCCTCCCTCCCAAACACGCTCCCAAAACAAGAGGAAGGAAGGTGGAAGAGGAAAGGGAAGGGGAAGAGGAGGAAGAAGGAGTGGGAGGAGGGAAGCAGGGAGGAGGAAGATAGGAGGGAGGAAAAGAGGGAAGGAGGAGGAGGGGGAGGGGGCAAGAGGGGAGGAGAGGGGAGAAGAGGTGAAGGATTGGGGAGAGGATGGGGAAGAGGAAAGAGGGGAGGAGAGGGATGAGAGAGAAGGAGGGGAGAAGAGGGAAGAGAGAGGATTAGGCAGAAACAAGGGGAAACAGACAGAGACAGGGAGGGAGTGAGGGAGGGAGGAAGGAAAATGTTAGGAAATAGAGAGAGAACGGAAAGATAACAAGATGATGCTCGCAGTTGAGATGAGCTAGAGATGTAGTCATGGATTCCAGTTGGTGAAGGAGGCATCGTGTGTGTGTGTGTGTGTGTGTGTGTGTGTGTGTGTGTGTGTGTGTGTATGACAGTCAATGATGAAGGTGGATCAGAGGAAATAGGATAACATATGGCAGTAGGAAGGGAGATGAGAAAGCAGGAAGAGAGAGAGAAATGATACTAGCGAGAGATGAGATGTCTCGGAAATGAAGTTTGTAGATGATTGAAATAATGAATAGGAAATGTTAAAGAACGATAAAAAGAAAAAGGGTCTATTTATAATTGATGATGATAGAGGTGTAAAGGGTATAAGAGGATGATAACAAAAGAGGGAGAAATAGATAAATAAGAGAGAAAAGGGAAGGAAAGGAGGAAAAAGGATATTAACAAGAGATGTAATTAGGCGTACTGAAGAGACTCTAAGGTGATGATGATGATGATGATAATGATGACGTAGAAGATAATATAAACATAAAGGGGTGGGGCAGATAAGAGGGAAAACAGAAAAGAAAGGAATGAGGATAAACAAGGAAGAAAAAGAAGAACAACAATATTGAAACAAGATGAACAGGAGATGAACCAAATTAAAGACGAATATCTATGGTAACGATGATGATAATGGTGTTCTAGAAGACTGACAATCCAACAAAAATAAGAAGACATAGAGATAATTAAAAAAAAAAGGGAATTAGAAAAAAAAGTAATAAAAGATGACCCGAAGACAAATTATTATAGGAAACTGGAAGTGAATCTACAATACTTTTTTTATATATGTATGTTGGGGGAAGATGACGGTGGTTGAAGAGGATTAAGAAACAGAGGGAAAACACCGAGGGGAAACACAGAGGGGAAACACAGAGGGGAGAGAGAGAGAGAGAGAAAGAGGAGGAAGCTTAAGGCAGATAAGTGACCAGGTTATGAATAAGGTGGATGGTAGGAGAGAATAGAGAGAGAATCCAAGTGAGAGATATTTGCTTAGAGGTGTTGATGAAGACACTAAGAGAGAGAGAGAGAGAGAGAGAGCGAGAGAGAGAGAGAGAGAGAGAGAGAGAGAGAGAGAGAGAGAGAGAGGTTACTCAAGGGAGGTAAATAACTAGGGTACGAATCTGATGCTGAGAGCTAGAGTATTCTTGAGAGTACCTGAAGAAAAAAACCAGTGAGAAATATTTACTCCCAGGTGTGGATAAAGGTATTGAAGGTGTAGACGAAAGGGGAAACAGAGAAGGAAGAGGGAAAAGGGGAAGAGGTAAAGACGAAAGGGTGCTTAAGAGAGATGAGTAACTATGGTATGAATCTGGTGAATACAGGAAGATAAAGTATTCAAAAAGACTATCAATGAAAAGAGATGTTTACTCAGATATGATGATGATGGACATGTAAAAAAGGAAGAACAAACAGATGGAGAAAGACAGAGAGACGAAAGGATGCTTGAAGGGGAAAAAAAAAGGGGTATCTAAGGTGTGAATTTCTTAGATGTTGGAAGGTCGAGTATTCACGAGGCACTATGGAAAGATATGTTATACTCAGAGGCGGTGATGAAGATACTGAAGATGTAGACGAGAGAGAGAGAGAGAGAGGGAGATAAGGATGCTAGAGAAGGAAGATAAGTGACTGGGAGATGAGTGAATGAATGGTGGAGAGATGGAGGGTCATCTAACAGAGGCGAGGAGGTGGAGGAGTGTGTCTACTCGTGATGGGGGGCATGAAGGGGCAGGGGGGTGGTGTCCAGGGATCAAGAGCTGGAGGTGATGTTTATATCTGTATGCGTATGTGGCGGCTATGTAGGAGGAGGGGGGGGGTCGGTGGTTATGTGTGAGAGAGAGAGAGAGAGAGAGAGAGAGAGAGAGAGAGAGAGAGAGAGAGAGAGAGAGAGAGAGAGAGAACATTCCATTTGCTAAGATACATCAATCCTATTTAGACACGTATTACGCTATATATACGGTTGACATTCTATACTTCCATACGTTAGCCAAGACAATAAAACGAGGCTGTATCTGACTTAATAGAAAATAACACTTTAACTATTAACGATGTAGTTGGAAGAGCACACAACCTTATTTTTTTATACAGTACATAAAAGAAGAGTAAAACCATAGCTACGGTCACCACACGGAATACGGCCAATATACGCCGCGTTCACTGACGTTTAATGGCGTATAAAAAAAAGTACTCGACACCAACAGCACGAGCCTAAGTATCAACAAAAGTCGACAACAATATCTCAGGTAATATATAACAAATGCGACAATAGCTGCTCATATGGATATAAAAGATATAAAAAAAAAGTGTTAACAATAGTTCAGGTTAAACATAAGGTACACAATAGCAAACTATGTATTAAAAAAAAGAGGACACAGCAGACTAGGTATACACAAAATGACAACAGCACGAGCCCAGGTATATGTGTGAAGAAGAAAACTGAGGGGGCAGCGTGGCACCCTAGTCCCTGTAATGACGCCACAGATGTTTGGTTTAGGCTGACGGGGACCTCACGCCTTGGTCTGTGTACACTCCCGCGGCCCTCACCACTTTGTATCAACACCTTTTATACTCCTCCTCGCCTCCCCAGACAGTCATTAGCCTCGTACACGACACGAGGAAGAAATTTTCTGAATGGGAGGAGGAGAGGGATGATCTCTTGGTGTTGATCGTACGCCAGGCACGCCATCTACCAAAACAAAGGAAAATATGTTGTACGGCATGGTAGCTATATATTTTTTTTTTTTTTAGTGTTTGGGGCAAGACGAAGATTTTCAACGAGAAATTCCTGTACAGTCTTATTGTTTTGTTAATATTTTCAACACCTTAGTTTACACGTTGAAGAAGAGAAGAGGAATTTCCTTCACTTTTTTTAACACCCATAAAATATCCCCTGCTATGTTAAGAGAGAGAGAGAGAGAGAGAGAGAGAGAGAGAGAGAGAGAGGAATTCTGAATACACAAAATTCTTGAGTTATTACCCCCATAGGAATGAACCAGCAATGTCTACCTGAGAGTAGTAAAAGTAAAAAATTTCCTAAAGACACCAGAAAAAACTAACGTAACCTAATCTGACTTAAGTTATGTAATAAGATTTTAGTTTAAGTTAGGTTAAATTAAGTGTAGTTAGGTAGGTTGAGTTAACTAGTATTATAATGATGATTTAATTAATAATAGGAACGATGATGATGATGATGATGATGATGATGATGATGATGATGATAACGATAACTATCACTAGTTCTCATAATCAATTTTTTCCCTATTTTCCTCTCCCCTCATTCATCAAGATTACTGCTGTCTCCCCTCTTCCTCCTCTCCCACCTCTCCCTTCTCTTTCCCCCTCCCTACCCCTCATCCCAGAGATACAAATCCCCTCTCAAGATCTCCTCCGTTGGCGTCTAATCCCCTTCTCCCCTCCGCACATGAATCCTAAATCCACTGATGCAGGTGAGGGCGTTCCTATTGTAGATTAATCCCCTTAAACAAACAAAGTAATATCACATCTTCTTGAGGAATCCTTCTTTGTAATCCCACGTCGTCTTCGGGCTTACGGTAATCCCCCCCTCTCTCCTATACCTCTTTGTAATCCTTATGGGTCGTCTTGAGGTTTTCAGTAATCCCCCTCTTTTTACCCTCCCATGCAGTCAGTTCTCTTCCCGTTTTCTTCACCGTTTTGTAAATCTCCTTTAAATCCCACTGTTCTAGCTTGGGGGTAATCTCCTTTAATCAGTTGGATTTATAAGTTAGCTAATACCTCCTTCAGTATTAAGTAATCCCCGTTATTGTTCTCTTAATGTCTTTCAGTAATCCCACCCCATCTGCATATAATCTTCGCCATCAATTAGTAATCCCCCTCAGTAGATTAATCCACCCTACAGGTATAGACAAAATCTCCCTCAGAAGCTAGAGTCTTGCCTAAACCTTCAGTAACGTTTCCTCAGCAGAGAATAATCTCCTCTCAGCAGACAGCAATTCCTTTTCAGCAGACATTATTACTCTCAAACCCATACAGTAATCCATTCTATGGACATTAATCCTCCTCCAGCAGACATTACTACCCTCAAACCCACAGAGTAATCCCTTCTACAGACATTAATCCTCTTTTAGCAGACATTATTACCCTCAAACTCACACAGTAATCCCTTCTATAGACATTACTCCTCCTCCAGCAAGCTATAAAGCCCCTCCAGTAATCCAGTGTCTCCGTTGTCTTGCAGGAGAGCCTCGGGTGACGGGACAGTGGCAGACGAGGAAGGTGGTGAGGGAGGGAGACTTCGTGAAGCTACTGTGTCCCATAACAGCCAACCCAGAACCTTTATATGATTGGTTCAAGGTGAGAGATACTCCAGGGTCTTGTGTGTGTCTCTTAGGTCAGCCCTAGGGTCTTGTGTGTGTCTCTTAGGTCAGCCCCAGGGTCTTGTGTGTGTGTCTCTTAGGTCAGCCCCAGGGTCTTGTGTGTGTCTCTTAGGTCAGCCCCAGGGTCTTGTGTGTGTCTCTTAGGTCAGCCCCAGGGTCTTGTGTGTGTCTCTTAGGTTAGCCCCAGGTTCTTGTGTGTGTCTCTTAGGTTAGCCCCAGGTTCTTGTGTGTGTATCATAGATTTTTTAGATTAGATTGCCCCCGAGAGGGCCAGTTTATTGGACACCCCCTTACATCCTGTGCAAGGTGAAGCGCAGAAGCGTTTACAGCGCCCATCTGGGAAGCATGAGGAGTTCATGCTTGCCTTTATGACTCATGCATTAAGGGCGTAAAAGCCTGAAGGGTCATGGGTTTTGTCATCAAGTTACATAAAGTGACAGAATGATGATTGTGTGGGGGAGAAAATTCTCGATACAATTTATCTGTTTATGGCAAAGCGTGGCAGGTCCCTAATAATGTCAAGTGCCAGGCCATAGGCATTGACAATATTGAAGGACATACCTTTTAGTGTGACTTTGATGGCGTGTACGTCGGTAGTGTCGGCTTCAAGGGGGACGTCCTTCTTGGCGTAGATCTGTAGTCCACTTGCATGTCCGCATGGTGGTCAATTGATGTGGAGAATTGGAGTGGATGGGCCCCAGGTGCCGGCATGCCGGTGGGGGACGGGGAGCCGGGGGTGGTGTCCTCGGGTCCATGAGCGCGCGGTGGGTGACCCAAAAACAAAACAAGACAAAACAAAACAAAACAAAAAAGTCCCTATCATTCCCAAAAATAAACAGATCACACTTGGGCGAGGGCGCACAACCGTCCGTCACTGCCTGTCGGCCAATAAGCCTCTTGCCCAAGAGAAAAATTAGAGCGTTTGTCTCCATCTAACAATGTGTGTCATAGGTTAGCCCCAGGGTCTTGTGTGTCTCATAGGTTAGCCCCAGGGTCTTGTGTGTCTCATAGGTTAGCCCCAGGGTCTTGTGTGTCTCATAGGCTAGCCCCAGGGTCTTGTGTGTCTCATAGGTTAGCCCCAGGGTCTTGTGTGTGTCATAGGCCAGCCCCAGGGTCTAAGACACTTTCATATATTTGTAGCCTTCCTAAGAACTCTCCAGATTGACGCACATGCTCCAGGGACTTGTGGTACATATACCCTCCACACACACACACACACACACACACACACACACACACACACACACACCACCACATAGCTCTTCTTCACACTCACACACAAGGAGACGCTCACAGAACGCCACACCATCCATCACCAGCCTCTTGAAGGTTTACGCTGACGAAGCTACACCGGCAGGAGGAGTCAGTGACCTCCTTGTTAAGATGCTGATAAGTAAACGACCTGTCGATTAATTAATCAATTGACCGGACAGCTTGTTAGTACAGGGGATTCATTTTTATATACACACAAACGAGAAAGGATACGTATACACACACACACACACACACACACACACACACACACACACACACACACACACACGAGAAAAGATACGCACACACACGTACACACACATATACACACCATCACACTCACATTTTTTGTACAAAGTGACCTTGTGGTTTGACGTTGATAGTATAATACATAACTAGTCAATAATAACTAAGTAATTAGGTCATTAAGTGCGTAGTTAACTAAGTAAATATAACAATCCACTAAAAAAAATTAAAATCATACGAGATAAAAATCTGTTAAGGTGATTTTCTACTTAATATTTTATGGTTCTTTTGTTCTCTAAGTAAAAACACTAGTGAACTTCCCTAACAAGTCTGAGTTCTCTAATCAGACATCTCATCATTGAGGTTCTACTGAGAGAGTGGTTCTCGAAGTAAACAAGAGCCTTAATCCTCACAGACTCACTTAGAACCTTTAACTTTCCTCACTTATCTACGGTTCTTTAATTCCTTCCCTGGTTTTCTGTCCTACCGGTTCCATTAACTAACATCCCGGTTCATCTTATCATCCCGGTTCATGTTTTCCACCCGGTACAGGACGGGGAGGCGGTAAAGGCTACATGGAAGCGCTACAACACTAAGAAGAACGTGCTGAAGATCAAGCCAGCCTTCCAAGAGGATGCTGGCTATTTTACCTGTGTCGGCGTCAATGGCTTCGGCACTGTCAACTCATCAATGTCTCTCATAGTTTTAGGTATGTTTTTTTCTCTCTCTTTCTCTCTGTTTGACTGTCTCTTTGTCGCTCTGTATGTTTGTCTGTCTGTCTGTTTCTGTCTGTCTACCCTCCGTTTCCTTCTTACTCTGTCACACTATAACATAAAATAAAATAAATAAAATGAATGAAAATCCCCGTCAATGATTCAACTTTCCCACAACTCCCCTTCTCTTCCTCACTCCCTCTCCCTCTACTCTTACAGGAGAGGGAGAGCCTGAAGGAGAGCTGATGGAGCCACAGTTGACGCAGGTATGGCCAGAGAGTCCTTTACACCGTCGTCGGGGGGAACACCTGGTTCTTTCCTGTCAAGCTCGAGGACTCCCCACACCTATCGTCACCTGGTATAAGGTAAGTCATTCATCTGAACCAATGAAATGCTGGCTTTGAGTTACAGGAGCAGTGATTGGTTGTTACGATGAGCCAGGACCAAGCAGGGGACGTGGTGGTGGTTAAGGACCAATCAGTGTGGGTTATGATGGTGGATGACCAGTCAGAGGACGTTATGGTGACTAAGGACCACCCAGGGCGGGTTATGGTGGCTAAAGACCAATCAGAGAACGTCATGATGACTAAGGACCAATCAGTGTGGATTATGGCGGACTATAGACCAATCAAAGGTCGTCATTATATATTTCTTGATTTCATGACATCACTTATTGGCGAATTTCTCACTGTAATTTATTTGACATCTCAAAATAAATATTCTGACGTCACTTTTCTGGTAATATTTACAATCTCCTGACTTCCTTATTGAATTTATTGCTATTTACCCTGACATTGTTATTAATTCCATCCCTTTAACTTCACTTTTACACTCTGACATCACTTTTTGACATACTACTAATTGGCATCGCCATTTCCCCTGCCATCATTTATTAACACTGTAAAATTTCCCACAGTTTCCCCTGACATCACTAAAAGACCTCCTTCCCAAGTCTTCAATATCCCACAGTGTGTCCATGACTTCGTGCATTTCTCACCCCGTGTGTATGTTTGTTTACTCCCAGGATGGTCTGTCGCTGAGTCGGGAGGGGGAACAGCTAACCTTCGACGCCCTTCTGACCACAGACTCTGGTCACTACACCTGCAGGGCCAACTCTGCTCTGGGAGGCAAGACGGCCAACTTCACTCTGCAAGTTGGTGGTAAGTATCTGTGGCAGGCAGGTGGTGGGGGGGGAGGAGGAGGTTAGGGGGAGGAGGGAGGGAGGAGGGAGGGAGGAGAGGGGTGGATTGCGGAAGAAGGAAGGGAGGTAGGTAGAAGGATGAGTCATGGAAGGAGGAACGAGCTAGAAGAGGGAAGGAAGGAAGGGAGGATAAAGGGAGGTGAGAAGGGAAAGGTAGTGAATAAGAAAGGGAGGGGGGAAGCAAGGAAGGGAAGGAGGGAAAGAGAGGAATCAGAGAGGGGGGTAAAGAAGCAAAGAGGTGATATAGAGAGAAAAAAGAGAGAGAGAGAGGCGGTAGAAAGACAAGGGTGAATTAGAAGGGGAGAGGAACAGTGAAGAAGGAAAGGAGTGAATTAGGGAGTGGGGAAGAGAAAGAGATAAAAGGGATGGATTTGTGAGGGAAGGAAGGAGGTAGGAAGGAAGCACGGAAAGGGGAGAGAGAGAGAGAGAGAGAGAGAGTGTAAGACCAGAGTTTATCAGTGTCACCACAACACCGAGGGTCAGGCCCACACAGCGACTCATTTGTAAAGGAAATCGAAAGCAAAATCACTTTCCTCGCTCTTGACATATTTTATAGAGATGTGGCTGTCTTCAGGTGATGGTAGTGGTGGTAGTAGTAGTGGTGGTAGTAGTAGTGGTGGTAGTAGTAGTGGTGGTAGTAGTGGTGGTAGTAGTGATGGTAGTGGTAATATTGGTAGTAATGGTGTTATGTTGTTGTTGTTAAAGAGTGATAATTAAGTTCTATTCTAACCACTACACAAAGGTCATCCTCCACCTATTCACCAACACCTGTTTCTTGATCAATTTACCAATACATAACCACTTCATAATCCCTAAACCATTGAACCCTTTAACGAGAGAGAGAGAGAGAGAGAGAGAGAGGCCCTTAATAAAGACGTTCAAAGGTCCTAAATGAGCAGTGAAAAGGTAGAGAGAGAGAGAGAGAGAGAGAGAGAAAGGGGATTAATGAGGTGGAAAAGGGAGACGAAAGAGAGGTGACAGCTGTTCTGGATTGTGATTGGTGGAGAGATTATAGGGCTTTGTTTACTAAGGGTCCATATTACTCATTGTTTACTACGTCACTTCATTCATAAAAAAAACAAAAACATGCTGACGTCACGGGGTGTGGTAGGTTTATTTGATATTATTGTTTCTCTCTCTCTCTCTCTCTCTCTCTCTCTCTCTAAGGATTCCACAGAAGTATCTCCCATTATCTCGTAAGCATCTTGCCGAGATATCTCTCACTGTGGCTTAAGTATCCTCAATTTTTCTGAGGAGGAGGAGGGTAGGAGGAGTAGGAGGAGTAGGAGGGTAGGAGGGTAGGAGGAACAGGAGGGTAGGAGGAACAGGAGGGTAGGAGGAGAAGAAGGTTTAGGGGGAGGAGAAGGAGGGTAGGGGGAACAGGAGGTTTAGGAGGAGGAGATCGCCTCAATGCGCGTTTAATGAGGGAATGTGAGGAGAGACCCAGACACACACACAGATACCGACGTAATTATATTATTTATATATATTTTTATTTTATTTTAATGAAGTCATTTTTTGTTAAGACGTACTGAAAGATGGCGGAGGTCGGGGCCTTTGAGGGTGGGAGGGGTGGGAGGGAGGGTGGAGGGAGGAAGGGGGAGGGAGGAAGGGGAGGGAGGGAAGGGGGGAGGGAGGAAGGGAAGGAGGGAGGGAGGATGGAAGGGAGGCAGGGGAGGAAAAGAGGAGAGGGAGAAACGGTAGGAGGAAGAATGGGAAGGAAGTGAAGGAAAACTGAGAGGGAAGTGAGATGAAGATGAGAGGGAAGTGAGAGAGATAGAGATGAGTAATCGTGTGAGAAGTTAAAGAGAAGCTAGATGGAAGTGAGGAAAGAGAAGGAGTTAAAATAAAAGTGAGAGGGAGGTGAAGGAGAGAAAGGAGAGAGGGAGAGATTAGAAGTTGAGGGAGACGTGAGAGGAAATGAGGATTGAGAGGGAGGGAAGAGGGAAGTGAGAGATAAATGAGAGGGAAAGAGAGAGAGAGAGAGGGGCAGGGGTGATTAGTGGGAGAGGGCGAGAAGTCGTCAGATGCGGCGACCATTATGAATATGCAGATCTCTCTATGTGGATCACTGGTTGATGAGAGAGTAGGGCTTTGTGCATCCCCACTCACTTTCCCACTCTCCCCTCTCTCTCTCTCTATTCTCTATTCCTATTTTCCTCTCTATCTCTATTCTTTCTCTTTCTCTCTCCAATTCCAATCCTTCTCTCCCCCTTCTCTCTCCTCTCTTAATCTTCCTCCTCTCCCCAGCTGATCCCTTCCACCTTCTCCCCATCTTGAGACGTTGATATCTGGGAAGACGTATTCAGCAAAGTGTTTATTTGACGTCTTAAGGCAGAGAGGACGTCTGTTTTTGTTTGTCTGTTTGTTTGTATTTGTTTGTGTCTTTGCTTGTGTTTGTGTTTGATTATGTGTTTGTTTATGCCTGAATGTGTGTTTGTGTATGTGTTTGTTGGGGTTTGTGTAGGTGGATAGTGATAGTGTGGTCAGAGTCGCCCAGAGTACTTCCCCCATAGACCTCCTGAGAGAAACATCCCCATAAAATTCAACCCCCATACATCCTCCCATGCCAACCCAAATACTTCTCTCCCATACACCCCCATAATCTCAAACACCCTCCCCCATACACCCCCATAACACACAAACCAATATTAAACCAACTTTCATCTCTATATCAAAACAAAATTAATAATCTCTTAATAGAAACGTAATTGTTGAGTGTCCGCTATTGGGAGGGTTTCCGTTAATAGAATTCCCATTAACGGAGGCCTTACATGGTTATATTTGTTACTGAATTATTAAGTATCATTTATATTAATTCTACGATCTATTATGTGAATTTTATTTAAGTTAGATACTAGTGATACATATTTAAATTAGGTGTATAATTAAATATATCTTAATGTAGTTATTTGTATTAACAGAAATTATATAAAATTTATCTGTTTTCTGCTAGACTTATACTGGAAGAATATATATGTCAGAAGTTAATCCACATCAGAGTTAGCAATTTTCCGCTAAATTAACGACACACGGAGCGCTTTTCTGATAGATAGATTAATTTTACTAATTAATCCAAAATATAATTAAATTGGATTAGGTGTAAAGGCTCCATGATCTAGTTGGTAGCGCGCTGGCCTCCCAATTCATGAGACACGGATTCAGTCTTGTGTGAGGCAGGGTTTGGTATAGGGTTCAATGCCAGTGTTCTAGGCTAAGTTAAATTCTTCTCGGAGATGATTTTTAAAAGGTATGTGTTAGTTAAATTTTAGTTAAATGTAGGTTAAAATTACGTTATATTCATGTGTACTTAGAATGAAAGAAGATATAATCATTAATACTTAGAATGAAAATAAGTTCTGTTCACGTGTACTGAGAAACACTAAGAGGCTCCTGTTAACTTAATTCCCAGAGCGAAGTGAAGATCACGACTTGGAGATAAGTGAAGCTGTTAACACGACCGTGGTAGAGGGCGGTACTACCTCCCTTCAGTGCACCGTTCGTACCTCTCATCCACCCAGGGTACAGGTGAGTGTCTCTGTACCTGTATCTTCTCCCATCTACCTAGGATACAGGTGAGTCTTTGTACCCATATCTTCCGTTCATCCAGATTACAGGTAAGTCAACTGTACCGTCCATACCCACCCACTGGCTTACTGTACCTGTCCTATAGGCCCAGTCGTCAAGTACCAAGAGCTAGGCCTATACACTGTACTCCGCCCCTGTAGCTTTATTTACAGTATAAACTCGACCTTCCCAAAGACAACACCGCAGGTATTTCTTTAGGTTAGGTAAGAAAAACCCGTACGAGCTTGTGTTAGACCTTATCGTAAGTGTAAACATGATGGATATTGTTCGTTTAGGATTCTCAAATGTTCGTAAGTTATATATTTTTGTTTTTCTCGTAAGTAAGATTATTGTGTGTTAAAGGATCTTCTATAGTTATTTTAGGAAAGTTTCTGTGTAGTTGTAATTCATTATTAGTTGTTGAGCTTTGTGTTGTATTTTTAAGTTCAGGTTAGGTTCGGTTCGGTTCGGTTAGGTTAGGTTAGGGTGTTTAATCATCAGGTGATCCAGTCTTATAATAATGATGTTGAATCAAAGTGTTTTTCTACTTCATAATATTTCCCTCTTCACCATAACAGTCAATTTTCATCTCAGCTCCTAAATGAAGATAATTTTCTCCCCTCTGTAACGAAGTAAACATTATAGTGTGTGTGTGTGTGTGTGTGTGTGTGTGTGTGTGTGTGTGTGTGTGTGTGTGTGTGCACTTCTTATTCATCCTCACTTTAGCTCTCTCGTTCTGTCTCTGTCTCTTTTGCACTTTCTCTTGCTGTTTTTTTTCTCTCTGTCTTTGTTGTCTGTTACATTTTTTCCATCTCTCTCTCTCTCTCTCTCTCTGTACCTCAGTTCTTTAATCTCTTATTCTATATATATCTTTCTTCATATCTCCCATTATCTCACTCTCCTCCTTATTCTCTCTGTCTCTCTATCTACCTCAAGACTCTCACACCTGGACGTCGTCACCTCCAAGGAAAACAAAGACAAGAAAGTGAAAATGTGTGTGTGTGTGTGTGTGTGTGTGTGTGTGTGTGTGTGTGTGTGTGTGTGTGTGTGTGTGTGTGTGTGTGTGTGTGTGTGTTCTTGAATCTTGTTATCCTAACCTAACCTAACCTAATCGAACCTAACCTAACCTAATCGAACCTAACCTAACCTAATCTAACCTAACCTAATCTAACCTAACCTACCGTAAAATAACTACAGCCTGTACACTCATCTCTCCTGCAGTGGCTGAAGGAAATCACAGCTGACGAGGCTGGGGACGGAGGCGCCCAACTACCTAACTCAACGCAGAAGCTGGGAGGTAGATGGTTCAGGAAGGTGGAGGGCGTGGGACGTGTGGTGGCGCGCGGGGACAGTCACTACCTCTCTAAGCTGACCATCTCCCGCGCCACCCCACATGTAGCTGGCGTGTATGTGTGTCTGGCCGTCAACACCCTCGGCTTCTCCTTCAGAGAGGCCCACCTTACTGTCCTGCACCGTGAGGCTGGTAAGTACCGGGGAGGAAGAGGAGGAGGAGGAGGAAGCCTCTGATTATACTGGGAGGGAAAAGAGGACTGGTTAATAACTGAATGACCTGTGGTATGTACCGGGAGAGGAGAGGAGGGAGAGGAGAACTGGTTGAGGTATGTACTGGGAGAGGAGAGAGAGGAGAGGAGAGGAGGACTGGTTGTGGTATGTACTGGGAGAGGAGAGGAGGGAGAACTGGTGAGAGTACTGGAGGGAGGAGGAGAGAGGAGGAACTGGTGGTGAGGTATGTACTGGGAGAGAGAGGAGGGAGAGGGGAACTGGTTGAGGTATGTACTGGGAGAGGAGAGAGAGGAGGGGAGAGGAGGACTGGTTGAGGTATGTACTGGGAGAGAGAGGAGGGAGAGGAGAGGAGGGAGAGGAGAGGTACTGGTTGAGGTATGTACTGGGAGAGAGAGGAGGGGAGAGGAGAACTGGTAGTGGTATGTACTGTATTGAACCTGTAGGGCTTCGGTCTCTATTGACTTTCTACACCAATCAAAACTCTTGATATTTTTCCACTACATCACAGAGAGTTCATTGTACACAACTGTAGGATTTCATGATTTATCGAGTCAAAATAAATTCCATTGTGATGTTCTATTGTTTGTTTTGTTTCTTCTTTTGTTTTGTTTCTTCTTTTGTTTTGTTTTCATTACAGTGAGAACAAAGTAATGTACAGGAAAAAAATTATTTGTCTATTCAATGACACTCGGAATTAATGAAACATATTGATAATGTGACCTAACTTATGAGATTTATTTAATGACGTGTTAAGGATATATGTTAGTGACGTGTGAGTGTCCTGATGTGTTTGACGTGTTGATGACGTGTTTTTAACGTGTTTTTAACGTGTTTCTGTTGTGTTGCCGACGTGTTTTTAACGTGTTTCTGACGTGTTGCCGACGTTCCCCTACAGGCACGCAGTACCCGCCGGTGGGGCAGAAGGAGAGGAGCGTCAACTGGCTGTTCCTAATTATCCCCGCTGTGGTGGTGATTATCGTGGTGGTTGCTGTAGTGCTCTGTCAGGTCAGTATTATCTGTCTCTAGCTCTGTCTGTATATCTGCCTGTCTATTTTGTCTAGCTCTGTCTATGTCTCAAGTTCTGTCTGTCTGTTTTTAAGCTGTCTGTATTTCTCTACTTCCGTCTCTCACTGTTGGGGCATTGTCTGTTTCTTCATTTCTCTCTCTTTGTTTCTGTCTGTTACTGTCTCTGTTTCCCTCCATCTGCCGGTCTATCTATCTTAGTTTCTACACACACACACACACACACACACACACACATACACACACACACACACACACACACACACACACATAATTACCCGTGTGTGTGTGTGTGTGTGTGTGTGTGTGTGTGTGTGTGTGTGTGTGTGTGTGTGTGTGTGCGTGAGATGATAATATACGCACAATGCCAGACTTGGGGTGCCACTATGGGTGTTACAGAGTGCCAAGGTGAATAGCGGTGACAGTGTATGACCATCTGTCTGACTAGTGCCAAGGAGAAGAACTTACCTGTCACTTTCTCACCTTAAGTCTCTTCCGTCACTTTTTATATTTCTATATATATATATCTAATTCTGTCTGTCTGTCTGTCTGTCTGTCTGTCTCCATATCCCCTCTCCTGTCTTTTTTCCCTCACTCTTCCCTCCTTTATTTCTCCCTTCTTCATTTACATTTTCTTATCTCTATTTCCCTCGCCTATCTTCTTCCTTCTCATTCCTCCATTTTGCCCAATACCTCTGAATCTTTCCCCTTCTCTCTTTCTCTCACTTCTCCCTCCTTTCCTCCCCTCTCCTTTCATGCCTCATTCCCTCCATTTCTTCCCTCCTCTCCCTCACATGCTCTCCCTCTCCCACCCCTCATTTCTTCTCACATCATTCCCCATCTCCCTTTTCTCTTCCTCCCTTTCTCACTTCCCCTTCTACTTTCCTGCTCCTTCTCCTCCTCCTCCTCTTCCCTTTACACCCTTGTCTTTCTCCTTCCCTTCCTCTTCCTCCTTTTTTTTACTAATCTTTCCCTATTTTTCTCCACTTTCCTTCCTTTTTTTCCTTCTTCCCTTTTCTCTTTCCTTCCCTCCCATTCCTCCTTCCCTCCTTCCCCTAACAGCCTCATCCATCTCGTCTGGGCCACCAACCTGTTGTCACCCTCTCCATCTATCTTAAGCCATCACAGTTCCCCCTCTACTGATATTCGCCTAACTCTCGCTCCCTCCCACCTCTTCCATCTATCTCTCGCTCCCTCCCACCTCTTCCATCTATCTCTCCTTACCTCCCAACTCCTTTTCTATCTCTTTTCCACATATTTCTCCTGTTTCTCTCTACCTGTTAGATCTCACACACAGTCCCTCTTACCCTTCAAAACAATCCCTCTCGTTTGCAACAATCCCTCTCAACCTCAATAATCCCTCTCACCCCCACAACAGTCCCTCTCACCTCCAAAGAATCCCTCCACCCCTCACAACTCCCTCACCTCCAATCACCTCAATAATCCCTCTCACCCCTCAAATAATCCCTCTCACCCTCAATAATCCCTCTCACCCCCTCAACAATCCCTCTCACCTCCAAAGAATCCCTCTCACCCCAACAATCCCTCTCATCCGTCACAATAATCCCCACCACCTCCATCCGTCATCATTGGAGACAAGCACACGACCCCAGGAGACGAGAATGACCTGTTTATCTCCTCTCCTTCTTCCTCCGTTTGTTCTTCTTCCTCCTCCTCCTCCTCCTGCTCTTCCTTCCTCTTCCTCCTCCTCCTCATTTTTTCTTCCTCCTCATCCTCCTCTTCCCCTCCTTCTCCTTGACATCATCATCATCATCCTCATTGTCTTCTTCTTCCTCCTACTCCTCCCCTTGTTATTCTCCTTGACGTTATCGCTTCATCTTCCTCATCCACCTTCTTCTAAGCTACGTGGCGTTCCTCCTTCCTCCCATTTATCATCTTTCTTTATTTTTAAGTCTCCTTTTCGAGTCTTCGTTTCTTTTTCTTGAAGGCGACGTTGAAGGAGGTGGCCTCAGAGGGGCTTGTGGATCTTCTTCTTCTTCTTCTTCTCTTTTATTCTTTCGCCTTCTCCTCTCTTTTTCCTTTCCTCTTATTCTTCTCCTTTTTACTTCTCTCTTTTCCCCTCTTCTCTCTCTTCCTACTTCCTCTACTCTTGTTTCTCCTTCTCCTCCTCACCCTCCTCCTCTTCTTCTTCATCCTCCTTCTGTTGTCCTCGACATTATCGCCTCATCTATCTCTTCCCCCATCCACCCTTCTTCGCTCCCTACCTTCCCTCATTCATCATCATTGTCCTTTTTGTGCTTCCTCTTCAAAGTCGTGAATGCAGTGACGCGATGGGAAACACCTTTAGGGAAACATCTTGGGTCTTCTTCTTCCTCTCCTCCTCCTCCTCTACCTTCTTCTTCTTCTTCTTCTTCTTCTTCTTCTTCTTCTTCTTTATATTAGTCCCTCATCTCTCTTCCTTATCCTTTCTTTTATTGCTTCTTGTCTCTTCTTCTTCTCTATCTTTATCTCCTACTTCCTCTCCTTCTCCTCCTCCTCCTCCTCCCTTCATCTCATCCTCCTAGTAATCCTCCTTAATCGTTCTCCTTGCTTCTTGTCTTTCCTTCTCCTCCATTCATCAGATTTTTTTTTCATATGTCATCGTCTTCTTTTCTGTCGGCGACGCTGACGAAGGTGATTCAGGCGAAGCAGAAGGGAAGAAGGAAGGGATGAGAGAAGGTGAGAGATAAAAGAGAAGATGGAAGGGAAGGGAGGGGAGTAGAAAAGGAGGAAGGGAGAATGGAAAGGAAGGAATGAAGAGAGGGAGAAGGGAGAGGGGAAAGAGAATAGGAAAGGGTGGTATGAAAGGAGAAAGGAGGAACAGGGAAAAAAAAAAGAAAGAAGGAAGGGCAAGGAGAAAAAACGAAGGAGGGATACAGGGAAGAGAAAGAAGAAGAAGTGGAGGGGGCAAAGGAGAGTGAAAAAAAGGAAGTGAGGGGAAGGAGGAAGAGGGGTGAGAAGAAGACAAGGTAAGGTAAAGAATAAGGGAAGGGAGGAGAAAGGGAGGAGGGAGGGAGGAGGGAGGGAGGGGAGGAGGGAGGGAGAAAATAAGGGGAGGGAAGGGAAGGAGGAGAAATGTAAAAAGGAGGAGGGAGGGAGGGAGGAGGAGAAGCAGGAAGGGGAAGGGGAAGGGAAGGAAGTCTGCAGGTTTTATAGACCCGCTGGTTACGTTAGCAATTAAAGGGAGAAAAAAAAGAGGAAGAATTTATCGCATTTTTGTGAGTACTTGTGAGGTGGATAGGGAGGTGAGGGAAGCTGTGAGACAAAAACACATACAGACACAATAAACAAAAACATACAAAAAAAACAGCTGATGTGTGTTTAAAGATATACCTGCAGTGTTTACGGGGACACACACACACACACACACACACACACACACACACTACTCTTATTATTATCATTGTCATCATTACTATTATTATCATCTCTATTCCACACACTTCGGCTCTCTATCCTTTCACTAACCTAACCTAACCTAACCTAACCTAACCTAACCTAGCCTAGCCTAGCCAAGCCTAGCCAAGCCAAGCCTAACCTAACCTAACCTAACCTAATCTAACCATTTTTTTTCTCTCTCTTAGATAAGAAAGACATCGCCAGACAAGCCAGTGGGCGTGACTCCACCCACGCCCGTGTTGAAGGGCGGGGACGATGCCTCCGGTCTCACACCCCTCAATCCTGACTCCCACAACCACCACGCTCTCCCACGCCCACCGGACCTCGTGTATCAGGTGAGTCCCACGCCTTCCCACGCCCACCCACGCCCATCCATGCCTCCGCCCACCCGACATCGTGTCAAGGTGAGTCCGCGCCTCTACGCCCACCTGACCTCGTGTATCAGGTGAGTACCACGCCAGCCACGCCCAGCCACGCCTGCCACGCCCTCGCCATGCCCACCCGATTTATCTATTAGGAATTGTGTGTGTGTGTGTGTGTGTGTGTTTTAGAAGAGAGACAACACACACACATGATAGACAGACAGACATACAGACAGACAGATAAATAGATAGACCGATAGATAGAGAGATAGATCAAACAAAGTTGACATAAAAAGATAAATATATAAATAAAAACTTAAATAAAAATAAATTAAAACGAAAGAAAATCAATGCAAAATAACACAATACCAAGAGTTCAAATTCCTCACGTAAAAAAAAAAAAAACTGCGCAAACCCCCCCAAAAAAATTCAATATGGCCGGCAGGCAGCACGCGTCCGCTTATTGAGTCAATATTTCGTGTTATCCAAAGGGAATTCGCGGGCCATTTAATCATCGTGCCGGATAATTGCATTTCAATATCGCGTAATGGCTTATTAATCCCCCTAATAAGTCACACTTTTAAATATAATTCTATACACGTGAACTCATTAGTGAGCATTTGTATCGTAGAGGGAGAGTGAGAGGGAGAGAGTGAGGGGTAGAGAGAAAAAAAGAGAGGTTAGGGAGAGGGGAAGAGAGGGAGGGAGGGAGGGAGAGAGGGAGAGAGAGAGTAGGATTGGTTACAGGTGGGTACAGAATGATTGTATTTTACAAAGGTGTTACAGGCGGATACAAAATAGTGTAATAATTTTCAGAGGTATTACAAAAACGTACATAAGTGTCTAAAAGGGTTACATGTGAGTACAAAACAGATTACAGTAGGTGGTATGGGTGTTACAGGTCTATTTAAGGGATTTATGGTAGGCTACAGTACAGTGAGTTTCAGAGGCATTAAAATAGTGTCAAAAAGTACAGCAACGGGGTTCAGTATGCCACCAGTGAATACAAGAGAATACAGTACAGTCAGCTTCAGGTTTGTGTTCCAGGTGAGTAAATGTGATTACAGTAAGGTTACAGGTGTATGTGAGAGAATACAAAAAAAATACAGGAGGTGATAAGAGACTCCACCAAGTTACAGGTAAGTAAAGGAGAGCAAAGGTCTAGGTTCCATCTGGGAGACTCCAAGGGAAAGGTTCCTATTGGTAGGCTTCAAAATGTAAGCACCAATCGATTGCCTCCAAGGAGTAATCTCAAAAGGGAAGGCTCCAACGAGTAGGTTCCAAGGGGTAGGTTCCAAGGGAAAATTTCTCAATGGTAACCTCCAAGTCGTAGGGTTGCGTCACACTAGATCAATAATGACAAAAGCAGAGAGAGTGTGTGTGTGTGTGTGTGTGTGTGTGTGTGTGTGTGTGTGTGTGTGTGTGGACCTTAGGCTATCAGCTCCTGAAGGGAGTCATCCGCAGACAATTCTCCTCCGGATACTTTATGGCCACGAAACTACCCTCCCCATCAAAAGTTCCGGCCAGGCGGTGTCGAGAGGGCGTAGGGGTGTGGGCCAAGTGTGGGTAGGAATGGGGAATAGGGATATACAAGAAGAGAAATGTAGGAAGAGGGAGAACATGTGACGAAGACAGAAGGAGTGTAACACCAGTGGGAGGGAGTCTGTGTCAAAGCTGAGGTGAGGCGTGAGGGTATGACTTAAAACTCACTTGGCAAGGAAAAGGAACCCACCGTCCTTGTAAGACACGATACGCTTAATTATCAACCTTCGTCAAGACTCTCTCAGCCTCAGCCAAGACTCTCTCAGCCTCAGCCAAGACTCTCTCAGCCTCAGCCAAGACTCTCTCAGCCTCAGCCAAGACTCTCTCAGCCTCAGCCAAGACTCTCTCAGCCTCACCATGTTTATGAAGGAACTAAGAATCTCTTGCCTAAACACCATCAAACGCCTGAGAATGTGTAGTGTTTTGTAAATATTTCAATTACTCGTACATTCATGTGTATATCTTTAGTACAGCTGAAGGTTTAATCAAGTTTATTTTGGTAGTAAAGTCACCTCACATGTATTTACTTTGTTGTATTATAATTTCGAGGTTATAATGTTTATTTTAGAAGTAATTTTATCCCCCAGTCATTTCCTGATTGAAGGCGTTCATTGGTTACTATATTCAATGGAACTTGGGAATCATTCGGGTGTTTGTAAACAAGTTCATGAAAGTCATTCTGATTCAAGGTTTTTTTTTGTCTAATCATTCGTATTAATTAGATACTCTCTCTCTCTCTCTCTCTCTCTCTCTCTCTCTCTCTCTCTCTCTCTCGTTGAATCCTGTCGTGTTTGTTATGTGTACAGTACGTGTATCTCTGTAGCCAGTCATAATCACGTAATGCCAAAATAAATTACTTTTACGTAATTCGGGTAAGGCCAGGTAAGGTTAGATCAGCTTAGGTTACCGGTATGATAGGTTAGGCTAGACCAGGTATGTTGAGAGAGAGAGAAAGAGAGAGAAAGAGAGATGACTGAGGAAGCGAGAAAGAGAGAGAGGAGAGAGAGAGAGAGAGAGAGAGAGAGAGAGAGTGAGAGAGTGGTGGAAACAAATAAAGAGAAAGAAAGTTAAGAGAGTGAGAGAGATAAATCAATCATGCATGCAGACAAAAAAAAACTTGGACTTCATTATCCATGTTGACTCTGACAGATTTTTCCTCCCGATTTTCTCTTTCCTCCCTGACGAACATAAAAAAATAAATAATCCTTTTTCTGTGTTGCAGGAGGTGAGCGGGTATCCTGGAGGCAGCCTGAGGAGCGGGCAGACAGGAGGCTTAGCACCAGGAGGCGGAGGAGGAGGAGGAAGTGGCCACTACACTGAGCACTACCCGAGTCCTTATCCAGAGTCCTACATTGACCCAGCTTACTCTGACCCATACTCCGGGGAACGAGGTCCTACGAGAACTTCCGACCACAGCTACGCTCGTCTGACACACCCATCACATCCTTCACACCCTTCCCTCGCCTCCCACACATCCCACGCCTCCCACGCCTCCTCCAGTCCCCACCTCCCGCCTCCCTACGCCCACACCCACGGACACTCCCACGCGCATTCACACGCACACTCCCACAGGCATCCACAGTATTTCGTGCACTACAATTTATAGAAGAATTATTATGTAATAAATATATTTACACACATAAATATATAGTGTATGACGAACTCCTAGTGGCATAGAACTTTATATAAGAAGTTTATACTCCGAATACATAGCCAGTACAGAGGAAGACCCAAGGGGATTTTAATACGATAAATCAGTGTAGATAATAGAACATTTGCTACCTCGACGTATATAAGGATAATATGTGTAAGGATCATATATATATTATACAGTATATGTAAGGGACTCTGAAACACTTAACAGGTGGCACACACTTGCCTTGGCAAACACACAGTAAAGTCCAAGTCAATTTGAAATAGTTAAGATGAAAGTTTAAAAAAAAAATTGTTCTGGGTGAAAAAGAAAGTGGAGTGTGAATTAAAAGAATATGAGATGTGGCGGAAAAGAAAGTGACATTTTAACTGTGAGAAACTGGTCTAAGACGTAAAAGAAAATAGTGTGGTGTAAAATAAAAGTTAACATAGTGTAAAATAAGATGGAATGTCATAGGAAGAAAACAAGAAGTAAAATAAATAAGTGAACGAGACGATAATACCCGAGTGTAATGTAAACAAAGAATAAAACAAACATCAGAAAACAACATAAAAAAAACTTAAAATCGGATAAAATAACAATAATACTAAACACAGACCTAAACTCACGCCGTAAAACAACATCACAACACAAGAAATAACGAGAAATGTCAGACATAACTCATCAAAAGGTGAATTAGGCACAAAGGTGTGTGACGTCTCATAAAAGGAACAACAACAACATAAAAGAAGAAAAAATTCACAGGGACGGAGGGATTTATGAATGAAAAGGCGAGTCATTCACAGTGATGAGGCGCCAACGTGTTTGCTTACAAAATACTCTCGTCGCAGCTAAGAGTGTGAGTTGGATTATAGCGAGATCAACAGATGTTGCTTGTGTCATGTTACGATGATTCTCTGTTTCTAAGGAAATCGTGGAGAAGGTACAGGTCTCCTAGGGATATGGTGGAGATGACGGCATTCTTCTCCAAGCAATCTACTGTTTCCTTAGGAGATCTTGGAGGGAAGGATGTGGCATTTGTTTCCAAGTGATCTCTTGTTTAGGAGATCTCTTGCTTCCCGTAAGACACAACGGAGTATAAAGCGACGGTATTTGTATTCAAGCGACCTCCTGTGTCCTGAGATATTGTAGAGACAAGTGTTATCTTTCTCTGAGTGATCTGTTTTTCTTGGAGATCCTGGAGGAGAAGATGTCGTCGACTGTCATTCCTGGAGACCGCGGAGGACAAGAAAAAGCTATACCAGTCTCCGGCATTGAAAGAAAGAAGGAAGAAAGTAATGAAGGAAGGAAGAAAGAAACAAAGGAATGGATTAGTGATAGATAATTGATTAATAAAAAGGAAGGATCAACTTTCTCATGCTTCATAAACCTGATAAAAAGCAACTGGATTTTTCTTCAAGCAGTGAACTAACTAACCACGTTGGGTGATGAACGAGTAAACACAATAATTCAAGTAACTAGTGGAACAAATATGAAATTAAAACAATAAAAGAACAGAAAAATATATTAAAAAAATTTGTGAATACTAAACATGCATAATAAAGTAAAAACATATATATTTAGTGGTTCTGTTCTGTGGTGATTCCTCGTACAGTCGAAGGCCAAGATAGGACAGAAAAATTAATCTAAAAGCCCTTCTGTCAGGTCCCAATCATCACGAGTTTTAAAGACGTTCTAAACCTTCCAAAGAAATCCCCACCCCACTTCATCCACTTCCCCTCAGCGGGTGTGTGTGGAGACAATTGTACGTGTGGCCAAATGTGTGTGCCGGTGTGTGTGTATAATGTATGTTTCTGATGTTATATGGACATAATGAGCCAAATTATGGATGCCAAAGGTACTGTACGTAGAGGATGAAGGACAGGTGGGTAGAAGCAGGCCAAGGATAACCTCAGTATTAGTGGAGGATGAAGGATGTGTGTGTGTGCGAGGCTGAGGTGTGACTGTGCCAATACTGCTGGTGTCATTATTGTCTGTGTCAGCTGGATATAGGAAGGTCACACGTGTTGTCTCTTACTCGGGCACTGTGTGAGCTGTGTCCTACGGTACTGTTGTTTGGACATTTGGCTTTAAAAGGAAAAGTACATTTTCAGTGTACATTGTCATATTAGCTTCTAGTGTACATTGCCAGTGTACATTGTTAGTGTAGCTTTATAAATGTACAGTGTCAGTTTAGCCTCTAGATGTACATTGTCAGTGTACATTATCAAGTGTACATTTTCAGTGTAGCTTTAAAGTGTACAGCATTATTGTACATCGTCCAGGATTTACCCTGAAAGAACCCCGATACAGCGAGCCACTCAGTCATGTATATGTACATAACAATAAATTCTTTAGCCATAATCACCCTTATAACAGCTGTACACAGGGGCTGAGAATGCTGGTCATTTCATTAACATATACCATTTGTAATCTGTGATCTATTAGCACGCGTCCAATAGGATTAAAAAAATATAAAACTTTTTTTTTTAACCGCAGGAAAAAAAAAATATTAATTCACTGCATAATACATTTTCTGCTAAATTCAGAAAAAAAACAGAATATTCGGTGAGACCTTTTAAACCAATTCACAATCATTGATGTTTGATACACTGATGTATGTATGTATGTTTCTGTATGCGTGTGTCTGTATGTATCCTGTGTCTGTATGTATCCTGTGTCAAACATTAGTTATATTTTCTTTATCAAGTCTGGTACGGGTTGTATACCAGATCAAGTCACAGGTTATATAATCTTTCTCACTGTGGAAATACATACAATACCAATGGTGATATACATACATACATACATACATACATACATACATACATACATACATACATACATACATACACACACACATACATACATACATACATACATACACACATACATACATACATACACACATACACACATACATACATACATACATACACAACCAGTTTCTACTTCTGATAATATGTTACTCAGCTGATGTACTAACAGGACAGGTGACAGGTATAAGGAACAACATAATCAATTGACGTTGCTTTAATTGTTTACATCACAACGAAGCCGCCGATGGGTAGAGAAAATTTGTTTGTTATCTTATCTGTTTGTGTATTCCTCTGTGACGATTGTGATATTGACTAAACCACGTCTCGACTTGTAGTATCATATAATGGGCGACGAGGTAGTTAGGCAGTCAGACGAACTATCAAACTTAAAATACTGTGGGATTAATTATTGGTAAAGGAGAGAGTGAGAGAGTGAGAGAGAGAGAGAGAGAGAGAGAGAAAATAAAAATATCATATGGTAATTAATTTCAGTAATTATATATAAACTGTATATCTGTTTTTCTAATGTGGATTCGGTTTAATGCAGTCACTAGAATTTGTAATTTTTTTCTGTTTAATTTTAGTTTGACTCTAGACTTTTTATCTGACCCTCATCTATAAATTATATTAAAAAAAAATCCCCAAATCAAAATTATCATGAATATTAATTAACAAATTTGAAGAAAAAAGTATTTAATTTTATCCAAAACTAATAAATACTTAACCTCTGACCAAATTCTTTCCAGACACCAACACAGTGGATTAAATTCCTTGAAACTTTCTTAAAAAAAAAATATCCCATCTATGTTTTAATAATTCTTCTGTTATTCATTATTGTTCTAAGTAAATTGAGGGACATCTTCACTATCTCTCTGAGTATGTCAACTAAACATAACAATGTGGTGTAATTTCTCTCTAAGATAAGAATTATATTGTGACAGATTAGAAATGGAATCGTTCTTACATATCTTCGCTTTTAAGGTCATATTATCTATCTATCTATCTATCTATCTATCTAAATCATTAATTACTGGGATTTTTCTTTCTTTATCATCATCATCATCATCATCATCATCATCCAATTTACCTAGTCCTTTGCTCCCTTTCCTTATTCTATCGTCATTCCATCCCTAATCCTCTCTATTTTCTCCCTCCTCCACAAAAAGGAACAGTAAATCCCCTTCCAATCACCAGTAACTTTAGGATTTCTCTTCCATTCCCATCCCATCCGTGTAATCTCCCCTGTTCCTTTGTTCTTCATGAATAACCCAATCACTTTTTGTGTGGGATTCCGTCATTCACGTTCACCCTCTCTGAGCTGAGTGTTATATATATTTTTTCCCCCCGGTAAGGTTTGTTCAGCTCTATGGATTACCCTCACTAGTTATTGTCTTCCTTTATCTCTCTCTCTCTCTCTCTCTCGATCAATCTATCTATCCATCTATCCATCATCTATCCCTCTATTGACAAGTTTTATCTATCTTATATATATACCCTCTCCTATACACTCGTATATTCTTCCTCCACCTTAACCTCTTTGGGAGATATATGAATATGTTCTTTGGTTTAATATATCCACTATATCCACGAGTATATTATCCCTATCCACACCTTGGTATATAAATATAATTAGTCGTTGATTACTTTGTCTTTACAGGTATGATTAGATATCTTACCTGTACATCTTCCATATATACTTGACACCTTCTACGCCATCACCCAACACCCCCCTCCTAACCCTTTGCTCTCTACCGTAGATAAATTTAACACCTCTTCAATTTCTTCCTCAGTTAAGTATTCTCCTAATCTCTCAGTTCCTATATCCCACGGGTATATTCCTCCATATACCTAGCTCCATCCCTCAACACCATCCCTCTTCCATCCCTCAACCATCTACCTCCAACCAGGATAGAAAACAGTGGATAGTAGTCGGCAAAATGAGCAATACTCGATCCTAATTTTTTTTTTTGGTGGGGGGGTAATCTAGTCACGACACACGGATTCACAATTGACGAACTGCTCCCCATGTCTTGCTAATACACGTCAAAAAACACACACACACAAAAAAACGAGATTGTAATTCCAGCCCCACTTCATCTATTCATTCTATTTTTGTATATTTAGATTCGATATATATTAGTGCTTCTCTGCCTTATAATCAAACCTTAATGCTTGCTAGAATTCATGGAAGATTAAACTAAACGAAGAAAAAAAAGGAAAAAAAAAAACCGCACGACTTTGAGCAGTTTGTTAATTGTCAATGAGAGTCAAATTCAGTTGAGGGAGGGGAATTAGGGGAGGGAATCAGGCACCGAGTTGAGTTGTCAATTTTTATTTTTATTTTTATTTCCCTCCCTCACCCCCTCACCCCTCACGAGTGATTGTCAGATATCACTTTTTTCCTCGCCGTCTCCTCCCTTCCTCCTCCTTCGGTTGTCTGATGCCAACTAGAGTAATAAGAATGTACAAAGCTATTTATATATGAGACTGTAATGTGTAAGACTATTATCATTATTATTATTATTATTATTATTATAAAGCCCTGTGTTTCCATGGTGTAAATATGTGAGATAATTACATATATAGAGATTACTTACTGTTATTAATATTATGTACATATATTTTTTTCTTTGGTTTCCCATATATGTGATTATTTAATTATCAGCATTAAAAAAAAATAACTAAACAGTGTGAGTGGATTTTTTATGGTAAAGTATATATGTATTGTATATGCACAGTTATACCTATATGTTGTATATAACAAATATCAACTTATATAGATGTCACATTGAACCATAAACACAAACTGATAATAGAATTTTTCTTTAATACCTATAAGTGTCTTTCGTCTTTATATACTGAATAATATAGGAACTGAAATATATAAATGAACTTCTAAAATGACCCATGAAAGAAGAAATAAATATTGAGTTTAGTTACAGTTGGTTATCGTATTATTGGAAAGTTACAGCTAAGATGAGTAGGAATTGATTGGAGATGTTGACTGTAGGGATGTAAGGAAAGATATATTTTTTTTAGGTGAATTGAAGGAGATTATGGTTAATTTTGTGAGTTATAATGGGATATAACTTTTAGAGATAGAGGGAATGAGAAAATATTGAACGAGAAATGTAAAACAAAGATAAAAACGATAAGTGAGAAAATAAGAAGAAAGTAGAGGAAAATATAAAGGGAGAGAGATAAATGAAAAAAGTAGATCTAAAAAGAAAGAAAAGGGGAGAGAATGAAAGAGAAAAGTAAAAAAGAAAAAAACAAAAGAGGCAAAATAGAAAGTCAGAAAAATCAGCGAGAAAGGCAATATTCTTAACTGGTGTCCAGGGAACTCTTGGCATGATGTGTGGTGATGTTGCCGCTGATAACACAGGGAAGAGTACAGACCAGTGACGAATGGGATCTTCACCTGATTGCCAACCCTACCACAGCTACGTGACCGATCACCCCATGAAGAGAAAACACACACACACACACACACACACACACACACACACACACACACACACACACACACACACACACACTACACCAACCAAAATAATTTCAAAATAACCTAAATGCCTCCAGATCTACAACGAGACTTGACCTTAACGAGACAATGGTTTTACTTAGCACCAGATAAGAGAAGATGAATGCAAACAAACAGCGTTAATTTGGACATAGACAAGTAGAAGAAGAAAGGAACATCATGAAGCGAGAGACTGATGTGAGAGGAGACGTCAACGTTGAGGACCAGAAGGATAACAACAGCTCCTCGTCACACTTTATAATTCTTATATTAATAGAAAAAATAGGAAACGGTGAGCTACCATCTTGAAGTAACAAAATAAAGATAAAAAATAAGGTAATTCAGGACGCAACTCACCCTCGTCTACGAACTGGTCCTGAGATAGAAAATAAATCTGTTAGTGAAAAGTGAAAAAATAAATATAAATAAAAATCAATTTATAGGGATGAGAGAATAGAAAACGGAGTCAAAACTATGGGATAACTTCAACACTGACACAAGACATAAAAAAGCAAGACACTACTACTTAAATATTTGGTGCTGAGGAATACACTTGACCTTAAATAACTCTTAAACACATCAACACAGTGACCTAAATACTCAAACAAGTGACACTATCCTCACCTGCGTCAACATGCCGGTCTGACACAGTTAACAACTATGTAACTAAGAGAACAAAAAGAGAGTGTTTACCGCCACCTCTGGGAAGCACAATGAATAAACCAACTGCGAGGGAAAGTTGGAGAGAACATTGTAGTATTAAGTTAAATTCTGAACAAGCGAATGTTATCAGTATTAATATGATGGTTGGAGAGTAGGGTTAAAAATCTATCTTTTTACTACTACTACTACTACCACTACTACTACTACTACTACTACTACTACTACTACTACTACTAATAATAATAATAATAATAATAATAATAATAATAATAATAATAAAAGTACGAAAGAAAAGTAAAAAAAAAAAAAAAAAAAAATACGCGAAGCAAAGTCAGGAAAGACCCACAGATCCGAGGCGAAGGAAACACCAACAAGATCAGTATCACCTACATCAACAAGTGGTGGTGGGCGAGTCTGCCACACACACACACACACACACACAAACCTCCAACACACACACACTCCCACCACACAATCAATACCCTTCCCCCAGTGGTAATATCTCCTGGTTTAACTCCTGTGTGTACTCTGTTGGGGACCATCTAGAAACAAAGGATCATTCCATACTAATGTGTCAATATTGAGTGTGAGTTACAGGTGTGTTTCTTTAGGTTCAGGAGACACGTGTTACGGTATTGTTAAGATCATTGTGTCTCCGGTTGTATTGTTATTAGTAAGATAATGTGTAAGATAATGATAGTTTTATTACTACTACTATTACTACTATTACTACTACTACTACTACTAAATAATAATAATAATAATAGTACGAGGAGGAAGAGAAATAACAAGAAATTTACTCGACCTATTTACACCTGAAACCAATTCGACTCTGGCATCAACAAGGTGTGTGTGTGTATGTGTGTGTGTAGGCTGGCACCTCCCCTTCTCACCCCCCCACCCAGCACAAACACTCACCCACAACACAATCAATTACTTCTTTAAGTGGGGGTGTCTCTGAGTGCCTCACCTTCACGCCCTCATCACACACACACACACACACACACACTCAGTCTCACATACTTATACTCGGCGCCTCTCAAGTACTTGCTCCAGAGACTTAAAAGATTCATAGTGTCTTTACTCCGTTGGGCGTGACTTTACGAACTGGTTTTAATGTTCCAATGAGATAAAACATGGCTTCGAAATTACACTGAGACTCTGGTATAATCTTGTATTCTGTGAAGGCTAAAAATCACATTGAAACTCACTTAGATATTTATCCAAGCTCGCTTATCCAACTCCGAACCTGTTTATCCAACCTCAAGCCCGATTATCCAACTATAACCCCATTTAACCCACCTCAAGCCCGATTATCCAACCTCAGACCCATTTATCCAACCCAAAACCCGCTTAAGTTCGTGATGACGCACCAGATGACTGTAGTGAGTTAATACAGGGGTAATTAATCACTGAGGACATATAAAGTTAATTAATTACAGATGCGTATTCGTGAATTAAATATGGTCTCTGTCCTTTAGCGGTAATGGATGGAATGGATAGGAATTAATTACTGAGAATAATGTATTAAGATATAGTGAGGTAATTAATGTGTTATTATGGTGTTATTATGGTGTTATTATGGTGTTATTATGGTGTTATTATGGTGTTATTATGGTGTTATTATGGTGTTATTATGGTGTTATTGTGGTGTTATTGTGGTGTTATTATGGTGTTATTATGGTGTTATTATGGTGTTATTGTGGTGTTATTATGGTGTTATTGTGGTGTTATTATGGTGTTTGTGTTTAGTGAGGAATGTGTTAATGGGGTAAGTGAGAGAGAGGTGAGGAGGAGAGAGGTGAGGGTGGTGAAGAGAATGACGTGGGGGGGTAGGAAGTGTGCTGACGTAGAAGGAGAGAGAGGAGGTAGTGACGTGAGAGAGAGAGGAATGATGGGGGGGAGGGAGGGTGAGAGAGGGTGAGAGGGTGAGAGGGAGGGAAAGAGGGAGAGAGAGAGAGAGATATATCACACTATCATACCCAGTAGATAACAGAGTCTTCACCAGCCCATAAATAAAATGGCCAAACGAAAGCGAGAGAGAGAGAGAGAAAGAGAGAGGCAAACAGACACACAGATTGGAAACTTTATACACCGCAACTAAAAGACAGACAGACAGACAGACAGACAGAGACAGACACAGTGAGACAGATAGATAGTACCAGAGAAAAAGAGACAGACAGACAGATAGTAACAGAGACACGATCGAAAACAGACAGACACACAGAGAAAGAGACAGACAGTAACTGAGACAGACAGATAGTAACAGAGACACGATAAAAACAGACAGAAACACAGACAAAGAGACAGATAGACAGACAGAAGGAACCACATATACCACCCCTCTATAACAAAACTTAATAACAGTGAAACCATTAATGACCTAGAATGATACATAGATGCCATTACTGTAATAATTATCATACGCACTACTGACAGCGACAAATTATACCAACACACGCACACTTTCTACCAAACCAATCTATAATTTTTAATCCCCGTCACGCGTATAATCATTGAGTATAATCTCGTTAGAATAAAGGTGCAATTATAGATTTAAATGGGTTTAGTAATTAGGTTGTTTCGTTTTGTATGGGTTAAGGATTGAATAAGGTGATAATTGTAATTGGTGTATAATTTTAGGGATGTTCATTTATCATGTTCTATAATTGGTTTTGGTTTGATTTTTTTGGTTAAGGGGTTAATGGGTTAAATTTACGTATAATATAGTTATTGGATGTATTATATAATCTTGCAGTATAATCTGAACTACAGATGTTGTTTATTATAATTATCATGTGCTATAATTGACATATTTCGTCTTGTTATGAGTCGAATTTGTCAGAAGAAATATTATACGCTGGTGTAATTTATATCCGCCATCTAATATAATCATAGAATATAATTAAAATGAGATAATTGTAATTCGAGTTTTGATATATTATAATTAATGTAATTATTTTCCCCAAATATCGTAGGAATTAAAAGTGCCTTAAAAAATTACCTTATTACTCTGTAATAGTTTATCTGCCATAATAATTATCTTGAAATGTAACTCTGAAAAAAAGATAAGAATATTAATAATAAATACACTATGAATGCTATAATTCCTGTTCCGAATTATTTAAGATTATTTTTTTTTTCGGTACTAAGATCCACAAAATATTTAGGACACGTTAAAGCAATTTCCTTTTGCTTTCCATCGGGTCAGTGTTGGTTCCTCTTGCTATAACACAAAGGTTAAAATATACGTAAGTTTAAAATTCAACCTCATTAAATTACAAACTTTCAACACGGTTATTATTATTATTATTATTATTATTATTATTATTATTATTATTATTATTATTATTATTTTTATTATTATTATTATTATTATTATTATTATTATTATTATTATTATTATTATTATTATTATTATTATTATGACATAAGCATACATTCTCGTACAAAGTTAATAAGGTCATATTCTAAAGTCTTAAACCTCCCTACGTTAATTTTCCTCATAACAGAACCTGGATATTTAAGAACGAATCTATAACTGTTTCACTAAAGATACAAAAAATAAATTAACACCCAAAACATGACGTCAAAACAACGCAGAGACTCTACCTTAACCACAAACGC